AAGTGCACCACTCCTGGGTCAAAAAAGAAATTGAAGACTTTTAGAATTCAATGAAAATGAAGACAAAACACACCCAAACTTATAGGACACTTTGAAAGCAGTGTTAAGAGAAAAGTTCATAGCAATAAGTGCCCACATGAAGAAACTGGGAAATAGTCACACTAGAGAATTAATAGTACAACTGAAAGCTCTAGAACAAAAAGAAGCAAACTCACCCAGGAGGAGTAGAAGCCAGAAAATAATCAAACTGAGGGATAAAATCAATAAAGTAGAAACTAGGAAAATGATACAAAGAATCAATGTAACAAAGAGTTTGTTCTTTGAGAAAATCAACAAGATAGACAAACCTTTATCCAAACTCACCAAATGGCAGAATGTGAACATGCAAATTAACAAAATCATAAATGAAAAGGGGGACATAACAATGGACAATGAGGAAATTGAGAGAATCATCAGGTCATACTTTGAAAACCTGCCCTCCTTAAAATTTGAAAACTTAAAGGAAATGGACAACTTTATGGATAGATATCACCTGACAGAAATAAATCAAGAACTGAAATGCAATTTAAATAGACCTATAACCCTTAATAAAATAGAAGCAGTCATCAAAAGTCTCCCAACCAAAAAAAGCCCAGGGCCAAATGGCTTCAGTGCAGAATTTCACCAGAAATTCAAAGAAGATCCTACATCAGTTCTGAAGGTATTCTATGCAATATAAGCAGAAGGGTCTTTACCAAACTCGTTTTACAAGGCTTCAGTAACATTGATACCCAAGGCACACAAAAATTCAACTAAGAAAGAGAACTTCAGACCAATTTCCCTCATGAATATTGATGCAAAAATACTCAATAAAATACTGGCAAATTGGATCAAAGAACAAATCAGAAAACTAACTAAACATGATCAAGTAGGCTTCATTCCTGGGATTCAGGGATGGTTCAACATATGAAAATCCATCAATGTAATTCATTACATAAAAAAGTTGAGAAACAAAAATCATATGTCATCTGACTAGATGCTGAAAAAGCCTTTGACAAAATCCAACACCCCAGAATGACAAAGGTCTTGGAGAGAGCTGGGATTAAAGGAACATACCTAAACATAATAAAGCTATATAGAGGAAACTTAATGAAGAGAAATTCAAGGCAATTCCTCTAAAATCAGGAACAAGACAAGGCTGTCCCCTTTCCCTATACCTCATTAATATTGTTTTCGAAGTTCTAGCTAGAGGAATAAGACAACAAAAGAAAATCAAGGGGATAAAAATTGGAAAGAAAGAGTTAAAATTTTCACTATTTGCAGAAGATATGTTAATTTACATAAGTGACCCAAAAAAACTCTACCAGGAAACATTCACAGCTGATAAACACCCTCGGCAAAGTGGCAGGATACAAGATCAACTCAAGAAAATCAGTAGCCCTACTATATACAGACAATAAGAGGGCTGAGAAAGAAATCAGAGAAATATCACCCTTTTCAATTGTCACACACAACATAAAATATCTTGGGGTAACACTAATCAAACAAGTGAAAGACCTGTATCATAAGAATTTGAGTCTTTAAAGAAAGAAATTAAAGAAGACACCAAAAAATGGAAAGATCTCCCATGCTCTTGGATAGGTAGGATCAATGTAGTAAAAATGGCAATCCTGCAAAAGCAATCTACAGACTCAATGCAATCCTCATTAAAATTCCAGCACAATTCTTCACAGAACTTGAAAGAATAATCCTCAACTTTATATGGAAAAACAAAAAACCAATGAAAGCCAAGACAATCTTGCACAACAAAGCAACATCTGGAGGCATCACCATTCTTGACTTCAAACTCTATTATAGAACTACAGTTCTGAAAACATCTTGGTATTGGCACAAAATAGGCAGGTAGACCAATGGAAACGAAATTAACACACTGAGATTAATCCACAAACCTACAAACAGCTGATTTTCGACAAAGTAGCTAAAATTATACAATGGAAAAAGATAGCATCTTCAACAAATGGTACTGGCATAACTGGATATTGGCATGTAGAAGACTGTAGATAGACCCATGTCTATAGCCATGCACTAAACTTAAGTCCAAATGGATCAAAGACTTCAACATAAATCCAGCCACACTGAACCTCTTACAAAAGAAAGTGGGAGCTAACCTTGAATGAATTGGTACAGGAGACCACTTCCTTGACATAACGCCAGTAGCACAAACACTGAGATCAACAATTAAGAAATAGGACCTCCTGAAACTGAGAAGCTTCTGTAAGGCAAAGGACACAATCAACAAGACAAAAAGGCAGCCCACAGAATGGGAAAAGATATTCAGTAACCCCATATCTGACAGAGGGCTGATCTCCAAAATTTACAAAGAACTCAAGAAGCAAGTCTCCAAAACTCCAAAGGATCCAATTAAAAAGTAGAGGACTGAGCTAAATAGAGAATTCTCAATAGAGGAGTCTAAAATGCCTGAGAGACACTTAAGAAAATGTTCAACATCCTTAGCCATCCGGGAAATGCAAATCAAAACAACCCTGAGATATCATCTTACTCTTGTTAGAATGGCTAAAATAAAAAACACCAATGACAGCTTATGCTGGAGAGTATGTGGAGAAAGGGGAACACTTGTCTATTGCTGGTGGGAGTGCAAACTTGTACGGCCACTTTAGGAAACAGTATGGAGATTCTTCAGGAAAATAGGACTCAGTCTACCACAAGAACCAGCAATTCCACTCTTAGGCATATACCCAAAAGATGCCCATTCATACAACAAGGATGTCTGTTCCACTATACTCAGAGCAGCATTAATTGTAATAGCTAGATCCTGGAAGCAATCTAGATGTCCCTCAACTGAAGAGTGGATAGAGAAAATGTGGTACATTTACACAATGGAGTACTATTCAGAAAAAAAATGGAATCCTGAGATTTGCAGGCAAATGAATGGCACTAGAAGAAACCATCCTGAGTGAGGTAACCCAATCACAAAAAGACAAGCATGGTATGACCTCACTTATATATGGATTTTAGACATAGATCAGGGGATTGCCAGCCTACAATCCCACTGCCAGCAAGCTTGGGAAACAGAACCTTCAACCAATGACTGATAAAAGCAGAGGCAGATAGCCACAGCTAAACTCTGAGCTGAACTCAAGGAACCCAGAGACAAAGAGGGATGACTGATGAGCATAGGGGTCAAGACTGGGCTTGTTTAACCCACAGAAACAGCTGACCTGAACAAGGGGGAGCTCTTGAACCCCGTCTGATGTCTGGAAATCCAGCATGGGACTGATCAAGGCCCCCTGAATGCCTGAATGTGGGTGTCAGTGAGGAGGCCTAGGAAATCTATGGGGCCTTGGATAGTAGATCATTATTTATCCCTGGCATACAAATGGACTTTGTGTGCCCATCCCACAATGAGAGATGCACTCTCAGCCTGGACTCTTGGGGGAGGGTCTAGGCCCTGCCCTGGAAGAAATGACAGACAATGGACACCCCCATGGAGGGCCTCACCCTCCCTGGGGAAAGGAGTAGGAATTGGGGAGGAGGGTGAGGGGGTTGGTGGGAGGAAGGGAGGGCAAGGGAGAGGGACCTGGGATTGACATGTGAAGCAACTGAGTTTCTAATTTAAGTTTAAAAATAAAAAGTGTGAAAAAAGAAGGTGTCTTTGGTAGTTCCTATATAAAACAGCTGTATTGACCCATGAATTTCTGTAACAGAAATGTGTCATATGCATGGAATTTTGATGTTCAGTGTCATGTAACATTCAACTATATTACAAGACATCATCTTTTTTGGGTTGTGACTCACTTATATATATATATATATATATATATATATATATATATATTAATTTAAATTTAAATTAGAAACAAGGTTGCTTCACATGTCAATTCCAGGTCCCTCTCCATTTCCCTCCTGTCCTCCTGTGCCTTCCCACCAACCCCCCCCAATATCCCCTCATTTCCCCAGGGAGGATGAAGCCCTCCATGGGGGTGTCCATAGTCTGTCATTTCATCCAGGGCAGGGCCTAGACCCTCCCCCAAGAGTTCAGGGTGAGAGTGCATCTCTCCTTGTTGAATGGGTGTCCAAAGTCCATTTGTATGCCTGGGATAAATACTGATCGAAGGCCCAATAGATTACCTAGGCCTCCTCACTGACACCCACATTCAGGGGGTCTTGATTAGCCCCATGCTGGATTCCCAGGCATCAGTCTGGGATTCAAGAGCTAACCCTTGTCAGGTCAGCTGTTTCTTCCCGTTAAACCAGCCCAGTCTTAATCCCTTTGGCAATTTAACAAGCTGTTCTTTCCTTAGCAGTTCCCTGTCTGTGTCTGTCATGCTACACTAATTGTTGAATGTTCTTATGTCAAATGCAATAACAGAGACCCTGACATCTCTTCCTGTATCCCATCCTTCACATGTAGATTATTTCTAATTGTGATACCATAAGATCACATCAGAAAGCCAAAACCCAAATCAGAATCATTAATATTATTCTTACATGTAAAATTTATATAATTTTAGCTGTGTGTGTGTGCGTGTATGTGTGTGTGTGTGATTACATGCACATGTGAGTCCAGGTAACCAAGAAGCCCTCTTTCCTTCCACCCACAAGTAGAACTGCTGTGTTAACTATGTGTGCCAAATGAAGATTTTTGTCTCAAAAAAATATCTTGTATGCTTCCCTTAGTACTCAAGTGCCATCAGAGCCATTCGTTCACTCGGATATTTAAAAAAAAGAACATGTCATATATTTTGAACAGTTTTGTATTTTAAAGCAAAAAAAAATATTTCCAGTCTTTACTCTAAACCAATGGCTAGGTTTTATGGAATCAGTAGCTGAGTGAATGGTTACACAAGGCAAAGTAAACAACGGTAGTACACATGTTGCTTTCAGGCAATATCAATAAAGGAAAACATGAGTCATTCTGAAAGAGACAGATGTTGTGCTGTAACTCAATATTTGACCTAACTCCATGAATATGACCTAACGATATACTTGTCAGTTATAATTCAAGAAATATCAGTTCTGCAAGATGATTTTACCCTGATATTTTGAAGACATTTTTCTTGGGGTCTTAATAAAATTATGTAGCACTTGGGAACAAAGATGCATCCCAGCATCCCAGCACTGGAAGCCAAGATGGAGAAAATTTCCACAGCTACCATGACTTTACCCTTGGTGCTATGGTACACAGGGAGGAAAGTGATCCAGACACAGCAGAACAACAGCATGCTGAATGTCAAGAACTTGGCTTCATTGAATGTGTTAGGAAGATTCCTGGACAAGAAAGCCACAGTGAAGCTCACCTGAGCCAGGCAGCCCAGGTATCCCAGGACACAGTAGAAGGCAGTGACTGAACCCTTGCTGCAGACAATGATGATGTGGCCATGCTCAGATTGTGCATCAACATTAACAGAGGGAGGAGAAGCTCCCAACCAGACTGAACAGATAATGACTTGGATCAGAGTACAGATGGCAATGATGTAGTTAGGTGTCCCCGAAACCAGGAAGTATCTCATTCTTCCAGGGACGGTGACTTTGAAAGCCAGAAGCACAGTAACTGTTTTGGCCAACACAGTGGAAACAGCCACAGTGAATACAACTCCAAATGTGATTTGCTGCAGCATGCATGTAGCTGAGTTTGGACGGCCAATGAAGAGCAGAGGGCAGAGGAAACAAAAGAAGAGTGAGATGAGCAAGATGTAACTTAGCTTCCGGTTATTGGCCTTCACAATGGGAGTGTCATGATGCTTGACAAAGACTCCAAGAACCAGAGCTGTGAATGCAGAGAAGCACAAGGCCATTAAGGCAAGAGCCATCCCCAAAGGGTCTTCATAGGACAGAAATATCACCATTCTGTGAATGCACTGGTTCTGCTCTATGTTGGCATACTGGTCCTCTGGACACTTCACACACTGATCCACATCTAAGGGACAGTTTAAGGTATCATCAGTTCACCTTCAGCATTTCTATTGGCAGTGCATTTAAATTACATGTACAGAAGAATTGCAATTCCTGCATTTTGTTGTTGAGGATGTCTTTGAAGGACCTTGATGCATAGAAATGACTCCATTTCTTAATGCTCATTATCTCCATTTGGGAACAAAATAAATAATTATTTTTGGTCTATTTAGGTATATTGATTTAAACATGGGACATGATATCAGGAGGCACAGATTTTCTAGTGCAATGTGGGTGCTGTGAGGAGAGGACTTATACTTGTGTAGTCACAGATGCTAAATTCATTAACCAGTTTTTCTGAGTGTTTTAGAATCCCACATCACATGGATTCAGTGCCACATGAGGTTATTGTCTCTTTTCTGAATGCTGTCCCCATGAGATATGGATATTGATTCTTCTACTGGGAACAGACTTCAGATGAGTTTTTATTTCAAATTTTCTGGCACAAACACATTTAAATAAAAGCATCTTTAAATGAAATTGGCATATTGTATAAGTGTGCTTATATTTAAAGGTGTATATTCATATAAATGTAACAAAAGATCTGATGAATTTGAAAGTGATTAGGATTACACGGGATAAGTAGGAGAGGGAAAGTGAGAGATGAATGATGTTTTGAGAACTGTAAAAATAATTTAAAAATACACCATTAATTCTGTCTTCTTCTGTCTTACCAAACTCCTAAGTCTTGTTCAGAAGAATCGTTTAGCCTATCACTCAAAGTAGAGTCCTCTACACAGACTTAGCACTAAATCATCCCTTCATCTCGATTCTGCTCCATTTCTATAAAGACAACCCCTTCCTCCTTCCCTCATTTCTATCTCTGTGAGATCCAGACTCTGCGCATGTACTCAATGGTGAGGTAGACACTGATAAATAGCATGAGAAAGATAACACAAAGCCCTTAAGACAGAGTGCTAATACATAACATTGTGTTGATTAGTAGTACCATATTAATAATTTGTGATAACCATGATAGTAAGAGTAGGAAACCATATTGCAATTGGTCTGAATCACTGAAAAATTTAGGCAGTGATAATGAGCATCTAATATTTTAAGGGGTTTATCTAGGACAATATTTTTATGCATTTTTATTTAGTTAATTTGTTTTGCTCAACTGTGAGAGAATGGACTCTTTCTCAGGAGACCTGAATTCAGTACTCATAATAATGTCAGGTGTCTCACAACTGTGTGAAACTAATTACAGAGGCATTGGATGCCTGTCACCAGCAATATGTGCACATAACCACCAACCTTATGATGATATACACATCATCAAAGTAATAATAAAGGTGTTTTGATGAATTTTCATAAATATTCATTATTCTTATGTGTTTTTACATTTAAAACAGTCAATGATAATTTGTTTAATTACATTGGAATATATGTGAGACTGCATGGTGTTGCTACTTCTACATGTGTCCTGAGGATGAGTTCACGTCATCTGTGTTAGTGGCAAGTAATTTAATTCTACAATCATCTCACTGGCCATAAATTTCCCTTAAGGACTTTCATTTGATTTTTATAGGAGGACAGGCAAAAGCAATGCACAACCATTAGCCTACCATTTGTATTTGGTCAATCCTGAATAAATAATCATTTGACTACTAAGGGGGTTTATAGGTGATAACTTTTTGTATAAGTGTGGCTAATTTTCTGACATCATTTACTGTGTAATGTGTACAAAAATATTGAATACATTTTTATATTTTGCGTCAATATTTATGCCCACTTTCCTAAATTTTCTATCAAGTTAAAACTTTAATAACAATTCTCTGGATATTGCATGTTGTCTTTTGTCTCTTCTTAGCAGTTCCTGAAACTTGAACAGGTAATTATTTTCTCTCTTAATTACAGAGGACTTGAATTTGATTGCTAGCACCTACATTACAGAGTAAAGCAGATCCATTACCCTGTTCTTTTCTCTGTGGACATCCATGCATGCATGGTATGCAGAAACTTATGTAGAATCACATACAAGTAAAACGATTAAAACTGTTTGGAAAGGTTCAAGACCCAAATCTAATCTACATGTAATTTTAGATGAGATTAATCACTAAGGAAGACCTTTTGTAAAAATCTCTAAGACTGAAAATTGATTTCAAAACTGGCTCTTTTGAGAAAATGCCAGCTGCCATGAATTTACAACAAATCAAGATGTACTTCAAGGCATAAGGCATTTTATAAAGGAACATTGTTATTGATAATATTCCTATAAATCCTAACTTAGGAAAATAATATACTATGTTTGTGAAGTTCCCTTCTAGACCCCTTCAGCATTCCTGTGTGGAGGGTAAGAGCAATTATCAAAGTGAAGGATTTACAACTGCCTCAAATACTCACTTGTCTCATTAGAAATTTCATTTTCTGAGCAGGGGATGCATTTAAAACAGCAGACTGCCATTCCCTCCTGCCAGAATTTTCTGAATCCAGGACTGCAATCTGCACTGCATACAGAGGGTGGCATCTGAGGAAAATTCAACACGTGGTGATATCAGAAGTCTCACCTACTCTTTTCATACCTATATTATATGTCATGTTTAGATATTAATGTAACTGGGTGAACACATTACAAAATGTAGTTTCAAGAAGACATAGAGAAGCTTAAATAAAAGATTCTCAGTTTTTGATTGGTTGGTCACCCACTTAATTGTTAATGGACAGTGTTGCCTGTAAGCATGTCTTTATGATAAATGCAAGTAGAACACGTCAAATAACAGTGTTTCTTCAGGTTCTATGCTTTCACTGCCAAGCCCAGATTCCTCCCTGGTCTACAATTGACTGTAACCTAGGAGACCAATCAACCATTACTTCTGATTTTACTTGTGGTCATTGTGTGACCATAACAGCCCTATATCCAACTAAGATGAATGGGCATCTGAAACTGCAGTGGTCTTGCCTGTGAATCTGTAACACTGGCCATACCCTTTGGGAATGGCTTCATACAGACAGAAACAGAAAGAGGGAAGATTAAGGCATGGTTTTCTCTTGCATCTAGTGAAATCATTAATCGCATGCCTCCATGAAACAAGGGAAATATCTACTAAAATATCAGTCAACATGCTTAAACTCCAATAATATACTACTGAAACTCATGACATATGAGAACTTATACTTTCAACCTCTCAGGTCAAGATTCAGCATAAGGGAGGAAATCACTGTATTACAATCAGTATGGTACCAAGAGATTATTTCTCCTTCTACTGGAAATAATATTAAATCAGTTTACAACTGGTTCATATTCATTTTTAAAACCAGAAACTATTTCAGATATGATAAAAATTCACTGTGCATGTTGGAAATCCTCAAAAGATTAATAAAGTGTCACATCATAAAGGAAAAAAGAGGCATAAACTAGGAGGCTTGATATTGGTTCATAATATGACAATTGTTTACATTAAGTTACAAGGAAGCTCAATGTTACTGCTGTGTAATGCACATCAGTTCAATTTGGTCACACCCACCTGTCTATTTCTTGTGGCCCACTCTATCATGTCTTCATATACATGGAGCTGTTGACCATGTGGGAAATATGGGCTATACTTTCCTACCTTCACCTTAAATCTAATACCATGATGGAAATTCCAGATCTGGAAAATGTCATATTCTTCCTGAAGTTTTTCTTTTTGGTTCATATTTACTCTGTCTCCAACAGGATTAGTGAAGTTGATCTTCTTCAGAAATGAGTTCAGCTGAAAGACAGGCAGCACTCTATCATGTATGTGTGATTCTTTGAATGAAAAACATACTGATTTTATATTAAAGGCAACATTATTGAAGGTGCACAGTGGAGAAATCTCATTGAAAGCAAATGGATGAATAAGATTATCATCATGTTCCTAAAATTCTAGTTCCATCAGAAAATACTGCCAAACACAGAGTCTTATAGGCACAGACCAAGCAAAGATATACAATACACACACACACACACACACAGAGAGAGAGAGAGAGAGACAGAGACAGAGAGAGACAGAGAGAGACAGAGAGAGAGAGAGACAGAGGCTCACATTCATCCAGAGATATATATAAAATACAGCCACACATATCTTAGAATTCCTATATACATGTAGGTAAACATAAACAAGCATACAAGCATGTGCATCCAAACATACATGCAAAAACACATACATAGAAACACACACATACACAAATGCATACAAACTCACACAGATACAAACACCAACAGAGAGAGGCATTGGCAAACAGGAAAATTTGCACCCACACCAAAAGATAGACACACACACACACACACACACACACACACACACACGGAGAGAGAGAGAGAGAGAGAGAGAGAGAGAGAGAGAGAGAGAGAGAGAGAACAATACAGATATACATATATAAATGCACATACAAATACACACATAGAATCACAATAGAATCACAGAGACACAATCAATGCCAAATATGCACAGGAAGACACACAGAGGAAAAAATACATACAGGAAGACACGGGAAAATTTATTCTCACTTCCACAGTATGACAGACAGATACTCATGAAAACATATATATGAAGACAAATGCACACAGAGAGGCATGGGAAAATACAAGCATACACACATATAGAGTGAGAAACATCCATTCATATACATGAATGCACATGTGTGTACTGAACTAAATCACAGTACTATTTTCTGTGTAATTACAATCAGAATGCTGACCAAGGACTCCAGAGCTGACAGAGGGGTAAGTATCAACTGAGAACTCTAGTGAAAATCACTCCCTACACTGTTTACCACATATATGACAATGTACTGAGTTTCTGCATCTGAAAGATTCCTAAAGAGATGGCATCGCTGACAGCAAATGTCATACAATAGAAGGAATACTACCTTCGAGCACCTAGAATCATGTCTGTTCCCATCTACTTGTTGAAGATCCATCTCATGCAGTGCATGGGCCAGCGCATACACAGCATTGTATATGTCATAACTGCCATCATTAAAGTCCATGTCAAAAGTTTGTACCACTAACCATTCCATAGAGGCATTTAGTGAGTAGTTCTTCAGTGTCATATACTTGGAAACAGAGACTTCACAGTTAAAGTTCATCCACTCCCGCCTTGCAAGGTATTCATCTGTGTATCTGAGAGGGTTCATTGTCTGGACAAAATTCTTAAAACCGGAAATCTCACCATGATGGTGTGCAAAAGCTAGAGTCATATGTGATGAGTCAAGCATGAAGTCTCTTTTACTTGTAGTCACATCCCACTGTGAGGTGATGACCCATATTCTCTGTAAACCTCTGGACTTCCACATTCGAAAGCTCACAGCAAGAGTACTGTCTGTGTCACCATAAATGATAACAACATTTGTGGATGATGTCTTGATACGGTTATAATACAGTTCAACTCTTGACATGTATAACTGCATGCTGATTGGAATCATATTTACAAAGGCAAAGCAGACTGTATTTTTTTCCATCTCTCTTCTCAAATATAAGAGAAACTGAGTGCCCTGATCATTGTCAGAGATGACCAGCCCTATCCAGTTCCAGCGGAAGTAAATTATGATAGACACCATGGCCAAGGCTAGAGATGTGTCCCTGGGGGCCATCTGATACAGATAGTGAAATTGTTCATAATCACTCAGGAGTGGATGGAAGGATCCATATGTAAGGTGAATGGCCTAGGATGCAGGGAGCAATGTTAGGGACCATGCACTCATAAGAACTTGTAAACATATTTTTTTCTGCATAAAGTTCTAGAAACCCCCTTGGCTAATCTGCTTTGTCATTACTTCTTCACTCATCTCTGTTTCAAACAAGGAAATGTGGAAGACCCATTCTTCTCTTAATAGTACTCAAAATGAAGTACATAGATTGATATAAATGTAGGGATAATTCTCTCCTAAGACAGTCAATATCTGGGAATGTTACCAATGGACATACAATTTTAGTCAAACACAACCCATAGAAATCTTACCCTTTGTGTTTTGTGGAGGTCCATGAATGTCCCAAGCATCATAGATGTTTTCCAGTTTGGTCCTGTAAGCATCACATTACACGTCATACCTTTCTTACACTCATAGTTAGGCAAAATATTAGGATCTTGTTTCAAAGTTGGAATAGGAGTGTACAATTGAGACACCCTTACAAAATTATCTGCTGAGAAATCAAATACTAAAGATTTATTTGGTAATAGATCAGGATTCCTGTTGACCTCATCCATGGTAAAAGCCAAGGCCAGTGTAAACTTGCACTTCTCAGCTGGTGTTCTGTAAAAGTGTAGAGTGTTTAATATGGGCAGAGATCAATAGATAATTCTTTGTAGTCAATACAAGGACTATCTTGTACTGAAAATTATTCCCAACCTCCTTCAAATACTGAAACAATCTTGTGTTGTGAGTTTGAAAAGGCATAAGATCCTGGAAGCTTGCAAAAGCTTTAAGTTCATAGGGTGGGTTCTCCCATAATTGAGATATGTCATTGGCATTCTTCTCTGAAAGAATTGTCCATCTCTAGTGTGTGAGTGCTTCCTCAGAAGGTAAAGGCACAGGTTTTGACCAAATAAACATACCCATCTTCATTTTAAAATTGAGTAATATAAAAATTGCACATAATGTGTTAGTTAAAGAGTTTATATTATTTTCTTATGAAAACTAATGAGCTGGCTAAGGTTGTCAATGAATGACAAGTGAGTACACAATAGTCTTTATGGAGCAACATTTGTCTATGGTTCTTGATAATTGGTGGGCAATATACCTAACATATCCTCTTATGTCCTTCATCTATTTCTTACAGGTTTGTTTCCCACAGGCATATAATCTTTTTTTGAATATTGATTTTTTTAATAAACTCAAGGAACAAAGATGTATTTGGTAAACGATTTGAATGTATGCATCCATCTGTGTGTTTATCAGGATTAATGCTATCTGTGGCCACAAAAGGGGCACAGATCATGTCATTTTGAATTGCACTTTCCTTTAGTCCAGACTGGTGTCAAATGGACAGGGATAAACCTGCTCTACGTCCTGATTGCCGAGATTTGCAGCATGTTCCCCACTACAATATTGTTCAACTGTTTCATGTTTATATAGGCCTGTCATATACTCACCCTAGGCATATCTGAGCAACACATTTTTTCTACTGGATAACATCTTTTGATTATTTTGCAGTTACACTAACACAACACTAGCACCCTACTGAAACTTGTAGTGCCAGCATTACATGTTTGTAAAATAGGTGAAGATAAAATGTAAAATGTATGGAAATGTTTAATGGTTTTGTAAAAAACATGAGCAACAAGTCAGAAGGAAGAGAATATTAGCATGTTGTGTTTCTGTTTATGGGAATAATAATAACTCACATTTCTTGCTAGTCATTTCATATAATCTATCCAATATACATCAAACATCCCCCTTTATTCAGAATGATTTATTCAGTGTAAAATACAACCTGTTTTTCTTTTAGAAATCATACATTTCTCGTGGACATTGAAATCAAACTCAATGTTTCCTATCACCACAAAGAAACAGTTTCATTGAATTTTCAGAAAAAGGCAAAGGAATTTGACAGTAGAGCATATGCAGGTAAAACAGTAGCTTCAGTACACTAAAATCATGAAACATCAGTGACTTGAGCTGTCATACTTGCCTATGAAACTAAAGCGATGTGTTTTAAAACAGCTACCAGCATTCCACAAAATCAACGTGTGTATAGTGCCTACATTGGTAAAATAAGCATTTGTAATCAGTATAATTACTGAGAGAGAAGCATAAGAGGCAAGTGTGATATAAAAGCCATAGAATAAACAACTTATATATGAAGAGAAAAGACATATGATTCTTAAATAAGGTCAAAGATGAGCTAGTTGTTGTCTCCTCTATCTCTGTTCTCAAGTGTTGTCAACTATCACATATAAAACCTATCACTCAGGCAAGTGACAAAGAATGCAAACACCCATCACTATTAGCTATAGCCTCAGTTTACAAGAATACAAACATGTCATTTGTAATCCATACGTTCCTTCCTTATTATAAAGGTGAGTGGGGAACTGGGCTTTGTAATACTTAAAAGCCAGTGGTTGTTCATGTAGACAAGTGAAGTATGGAGATACAAGAACACAGCTGGAGTTCACAGTGGATAGGTCCCTCTCTACTCAGCTACAGAAGGCAGAGTGACCACATGAAAGGAATTTGAGGGAGTAACTTAATATCTATGGGAAATCTTTTTGCACCCAAGTGTGGCACAAACATTTGTGGTGCTCACACAAGCACACACTGATGAAAGTACCATCAGCATACTATAAGGCCATTTACTTTCAAGTTCTTAGGACGTAATTTTTGAAATTGAATGGGGTTTCTTTTGATGAGACATCACTGGCTACTTTGCTATGGACAATGTCAGGAGGTAGGGTTTTTGTGATGAATCTTGAAAGAGACTGCTTCCTTCACTCCACTTCCAGCCTTGTAAGAGGGAGGCTGACTAGAAGAAAACCATAACCCACAGTGAACAATCTAAAAATGATAAAAATATCAATGAATCTCTAAAAGACTTTGGGGTCATTTCTTGGTGTAGATGTTGAGAGACCAGGACAAAAGACTCAAGACAAATAATGAGATATTCATGATTACATTTACATGGAAAATAAAAGAAACACTTACTGTGTATTGAACATATTCTGGAAATACTCTTTCTCCACTGGGCCCTGTACTGCCCTGGGGAAGAAGAAATAACCTGTCTTCAAGTCTCCATCCTTGTCTTCATTCTGCTTCATTTTCCAAAAACACCTGGGATTAATGAACCTGACCATGAAAAGTGGAATTTTCAGAAGCAACAAGTAGAAAATCAAAATGAGCATCTCTGTCCTTTGCTACACCAGGACAGTGGGAAGTATGAAGTGTCATGTAGATAAACCCATTAAATGGGCACCCACTTATACCTGCCTGCTTCTTTCTTGGCCAAGTGAGAGGCTGTTTGGGAATCAATGATTCCCTTTTCCCCAGGTGTTTCCTCACCTCTGAGGAATCTTGGACACTCTCTTCCCTGGGGCTCTACATCTGAGGTCCATAGCTCATGTGAAAAACATGGGTTTGTATGAACATATGGGGTACTTCAGTCTCTCCTTCCATAACATAACATGTTTGCGGATACAAGTCCCCTGGGAGGATGACCTGCGGAGGAAATTTGGTCCCAATACTACCTGGATTTATGTGGACAGCATTAAAAATAAGGTCAGTGGATTTTCTTAGATGACTTACAGTGAATTCATAAATTAATGGTTTAAGAACACAAAAACTCAGAATTCATGATTATGCACTGGATATTGCATCATCAAGTCCATGACAGTGTGAGGAAACCTAATTGGTTTAGCATCTGAGATCCCCATAGTACACACACTGTGACCTACATTACACCAGTGACAGATACAAAATATCCAATCATAATCCATACTTCCATTGTCTGGACAAACAATAAGCAGGTCAAATGACAAAATTTCCTGAGTTCTCTTATATCCAAAACTATCCAGGTCATCACAAAAATCACAGCTCATTTCCATGTTAAATGTTGAGTTTTAAATATTCAGAAACATCCTGAGGGAAATCTAGACCTCTGTGCCTTAATTCAAATACTGCATACGATCTATCACTCTTCCTCCCAACCAGTCATTATTAATGAGAAGATAAAATGACCATTTTAGTTCCAAACCAAGATCTCCCTCTCTGATGCGCAGTTTCCATAGACACCTTGTGATAACCATTTTATTCTACTTCATCTTTGATTTCCTACATTTTTTTCACATTTACATTTTATTAGTGTCTTGAAGAAGTTTTTGCTGAGTGTCTTAGAAGCAAATAATAAGTTTCAAGTGACCCTGTGTTCAATGTGTAAACTCCTACGGCATTATCCTAGTCAATTATGCTTGGTTGCATTCTAGAATCATAAATGTCAGTGAGAGAGTGTACTAATGATATTTTCTTATGTCTTTTTCTACCCATTGACTTCACATGGTACCCCAGCCACAATTCTGTCAATACTCTTCAGTGATCAAATAATACCTGCCTTTCTTTGTGTAAAATATGTTTATGTGACACACACAGAGACAGGCAACAGACACACAGATGATGAGCCAGGCAAACAGACCAAAAAACAGAAAGACATACACTGTTGCATCTAGAGTTGTGGAAAATTTTTTCCTAAGTCTGACTCCTGAGTTTAACATGATTAATTCCTGTTCCATCCACTCTTCTTCTAATGACATCACTTAATTCTTCCAGGCTGAGGCCACTATGCTGCATGAATATAACCTCTGAATGCCTTTTATTTGACTTTTAACATGTGTAATAAGCATGGACCTAGGTGTAGAGTGATGCCTTTTCCTTGTCAGCCGCTTGCCAGTCACCTGGGCTCTGCCGCGTTGTAGTCCCCAAATAACACACAAAACGCAGTATTAATTATGAAGCTGTTTTTCACTGGCTAGCTCTGACTTAAGTATTTATCCCATAATTGTTAATCTAAGTATTTCTCTTACTGGAGAAGTTTCCGGGCTTCTTATCCCTATGGCGGTTACATCTTGACTACCTGTGTTTCTCCTACCCAGAGTCCTCCTCGACTCCTAGTCCCACATAGTTTGCTTCCCTATTGGCCAACAGTGCTTTGTTGACATACACAGGACTTCACCAACACCTAGGAATAGTATTATTTAACTTAATGTTTAATTCAATCAATTAAAAATTACTTAGAAGCTATTTATTTATACTTCGATACAATTGGTTTTATGACAGTTAAAATTTACTGTGCATATATTTAAGTGAGTTAACTGCATCATAAATAGCAAAACTGACTATGTATGTGTGAAGTAAAATAAAAATTTAAATGATATCATTTCTTCTTTTTTTGGCCTTTTGAGACAGGGTTTCTCTGATTTGCTTTGGAGCCTGTTCCAGAACTTGCTCTGTAGACATAGCTGGCCTCGAACTCACAAACATTCACCTGCCTCTACCTTCCAAGTGCTGGAATTAAAGGTGTGGACCACCAAAACTCCGCTGATGGTATTTCTATATTTGTTCATTTGTGGGTAAGTGTCACTGTTGATTCCATATTCTGAATAATACTGTAAGAAACATGGACAAGCAAGTGTCTGTTATTCTGACTTACGTAGTTTCAAAAAGTCTTCCTTAAATATGAATGGACCATGACATAGTTGTATGTTTATTACCAAAATCATCTGTATACTGCTTACTACATTGGCTGCCTCAGTTTCTGCACACAATAGGTATGTTGAGGGGATTTCCTCAAACACCCACATGCTCATTAATTGTATTGTCATCTTTTGATGCTATATATTCTCATTGTGATTAAGGACTCTCATTTTGTACTCTCACAACTATTTCTATAATTTCAAACAGTATAGTAAAAATTTATTACTTGATATAAACATGAGCATTACCAGGACTTGAAGATGGCCCCAGTAGTCAAAAGCATTGACTACTCTTCCATAAGACCTGGGTTCTATTCCCGTCACCCACATAGAGGTCCACAAATATTCATAAATTCATTCTAGAGGATCCAGCTACCTATTCTGAATTTGGAAAACTCATATGTGTAACAGGAATAAATCTTTGAAAAGGAAAAATTATGTATTACTAATTCTACAGCAAAAGAAAACATTTCCTTATATTTTATTACATAGATTTTTATCAAAATGAAACATAAGATAACGTAAAACCTGCTACCTCAAAGTTGGACAAGGAAAGCAACATGAGGAAAAGAACCCCAAGAAAAGCACAAGAAACCTATGCCCACTCATTCACAGACACAGAAATACAATAAAAATGCTAACCTAAAAACCTATAATGTATATGCCAAGGATTTCATTTAGACCCAAATAGGCCCTGTGATTTCTACTTCCACCGTATGTTCATACAAGTTTTGTTCAATTGCTTTAGAAGACCTTATTCTTCTGGTGTCTTGTGTGCCTTTGATTCACACATTTGTGCTGGCTCCTCTTCTGAGGGGTTCCTTGAGCTCTGAGAAGAAGAATAATACAGATACATCCCACTGAGAGGTGCATGTTCCAAGGTTGCTCACTCTCTCTGCTTAAGATCTGGCTGTGGGTCTCTGTGTTTGTTCCCATTGGCTGCATAAGGAAGTCTCTAAAGCGATGGCTCAAAAATTTTCTAATCTATGAATATATCAGAATATCCTTAAAAACATTTTATCAGAACATGTTTTCTTTGACAAGTACTATTTGGTTTTACCCTATGTCTCTGGTAATCTAGTATTCAGCTCTAAGTCATCTAAGGAATGTCAGGTCAGAGTTCATTCTTGGGAAGTAAGCCTTAAATCAAATTAAGCATTTGTTGATTGCTCCCACATGACTTGTGCCATGGAATTTTTGCTGTAAGGAATAATTATACATTGAATGTTTTGTGGCTGTGTTGGTGATAATGTTTCTTTTTTTGGTACACTGAACAATGCATTCCGATATTAACTATATTGGATCACGGGTATAAAGTTCTATGTAGGTAACAGCTTTACCTTTCCATGTTAATTAATTGTGTAGGTACTGTCTTCAGCAATAGTGCCTTACTGCCAGTTTGTGGATAGGAAGCTATTTTCTTAACAGCAGGCTAATTTGTTTGAGGATTTTCTCAGGACCACTCTGGCCAAGGACTCAACTGAATGCAAACCAGTCCTGTTACAGAAAGCTTCACTTGGTGACTAGATATGACCACTGGGAATCCATCTCTCTCGTTATTTGTAGAATTCATCAAGGGGATACAAATAGGAAAAGAAGAAGTCAAGCTTTCACTATTTGCAGATGATATGATAGTTTACATAAGTGACCTGAAAAGCTCTGGAAAGGAACTCCTAGAGCTGATAAACACCTTCAGCAAAGTGGCAAGATACAAGGTTGCCTCAAAAAAAATCAGTGGCCCTATTATATACAGATGATGAAGTGACTGAGAAAGAAATCAGAGAAACATCACCCTTTACAATAGCTATAAACAGCATCAAATATCTGGGGATAATGTTAACCAAGGAAGTGAAACACCTGTATATCAAGAACTTTGAGTCTTTAAAGAAAGAAATCAAAGAGGATACCAGAAAATTGAAAGATCTCCCATGCTCTTGGATTGGTAGGATCAACATAATAAAAATGGCAATCTTGCCAAAAGCAGTCTATGGATTCAATGCAATACCTATCAAAATTCCAGCACAATTATTCACAGACCTTGAAAGAAAAAAATCAACTTTATATGGAAAACCAAAAGGCTCAGGATAGCCAAAACAACTCTATACAATAAAGGAACCTCAAGAGGCATCACCATACCTGACTTCAAGCTCTATTATAGAGCTATAGTCCTGAAAACAGTTTGTTATCGACACAAAAATAGGCAGGTAGACCAATGGAACCAAATTGAATACCCTGATTTTAACCCACACACCTATGAACACTTGATTTTTGACAAAGAAGCTAAAACTATACAATGGAAAAAAAGAAAGCATCTTCAACAAATGGTGCTGGCATAACTGGGTATTGGTAAGCAGAAGTCTGCAGATAGATCCATGTTTATCGCCTTGTACAAAACATAAGTCCAAAGGTATCAAAGATCTCAACATAAATCCAACCACACTGAAACTCTTAGAAGAGAAAGTGGGAAATACTCTTCAACGAGTTGGTACAGGAGACCACTTTCTGAACATAACACCAGTGGCACAAACACCTGAGATCGACAATTAACAAATGGGACCTTCTGAAACTAAAAAGCTTCTTTAAGGCAAAGGACACAGTCAATAAGACAAAAAGGCAGTCCACAGAATGGGAAAAATATTCACTAGCCCCACATCTGACAG